TGCTCTTGGTTTCACTTCCTTCCCGTCTTCCAAGCTCCGCCCCCTAACCTCTAGAGGTCATCAAACTCGACACATAAAACATATTTATTTATTTATTAGATAATATTTTTCATAAATAACTATGATATCAGAATTTAAACACCTTTGTTATTTAGCAGAAAGTTCTTAAAATAGTTTGTTGAAAAAAATAAAAGAAAAACAAAAACTGCTTAATATCAACAGATCCTATATTAGTAGGGCTCTACATTCTCCCCCCACCAAGAATCGTTATGCCCTCATAACGAGGAAAAATACATCTAAATGAATGAAATATCACAAAATTACACTTGTTTTCTTTCACAGTTACTCATTATCTGAATCAATGACATATGCAGAGTACCTCTCAAAATAAAAACACAAAATAACGGCAAATATGACACAATGATCAATTACCCAGCAATAACTCTAATTACTGTCTTTTCTTCAAAGTAACAGCACATGTACTAATTTTTCTTGATGGCACATGCAACCACAAATATACAGAAGAATTGTATTTGACTGGATTTACTACTTTGGCCTGCACAACAACAGGTTCAACTGTTGGCATCCCAAGTGTATCATATGTTAACCTCTTGGGCACAGTTCTCATTCTCTGAGACCTCCCTTTAATTTCAGGTAAACTATCAGAGATAGTTTCGTTTTCATTACTCTGATCCACACTCTCTAGACCCTGCACTATACTTGTAACAGTATCAGAAAGATCTGACAATTGACTCAAATTTTGTAAGTTTCCTGAATCATTCTCAACCAGAAGTCTTGAATCAGTCTCTACAGAATCATCTGTTCTAACTCCTTGAGGAGTCTTATCTTTCACATCTACATGTTTTACAGTATCTCTGACTTCATTCTCAGAAACAACTGAATCACTCTGTAAAGATTCATTCCCACTAAAAGGCAATTGACAGTCTTTAGGAATTGGAACCCATACCCCATAGTCTTCATCCTCACTCTCACAACTTTCTTCAACAGTCTGATCAGCTCTGACTTCAATTTCTTGTACTACAGAAGCATCATTAGTTCCTTGTTCTGTACTCTGACTTTCTACAACATTTTTCCTCTGTCTCAGAAGTCTTTCTTGAGCTTTTGGTATTTTGTCTGAAACTCTCTGTCTCAACTGTTGTCGAATAGGAAGAATATGATTCCTGTGCAGAATTTTGACTGGTCCATTTCCACTCTGTGGCTTAAGTCGAAACACAGGTAGGTTAGGCATTTGGCTCTGGACAACATAAAGCTCAGAATTCCATCTGTCTGCCAATTTGTGCTTTCCTTGGAGTCCAAGATTTCGTATCAAGACTTTGTCCCCAGAAACCAGGTGAGAATAATGCAATCTCTGATCATATCTTCTCTTATTTCCTGCATTTTTCTTCTCAGCATTTTCCTCTGCTAGCTGATAAGCAGATTTCAGTTCGTTCTGCATCTTCTTTACGAACCGTTGGTAAGACTTTACAGAAGTACCATCACTTGACACACCAAAACTCAGGTCAATGGGCAGCCTGGCTTCCCTGCCAAACATAAGAAAGTAAGGGGAATACCCTGTAGCTTCATTCATGCTGCAATTGTACACATGCACAAGATGTCCAATGTGTCGACTCCACTGTTGTTTCTGCCTTGAATCCAGGGTCCCCAGCATATCTAAAAGTGTTCGGTTGAACCGTTCAGGCTGCGGATCACCCTGCGGATGATACGGTGTTGTTCGGGATTTCTCCACTCCTAATAGGTCAAACAACTCATGGATGAGCTTGCTCTCGAAATCCCGACCTTGGTCTGAGTGCATTCTTTTAGGCAGTCCGTAGTGAATGAAGTATTTTTCCCACAGAACTTTCGCAACTGTGGTTGCCTTCTGATCTTTAGTTGGAAAGGCCTGTGCATACCTTGTGTAGTGGTCCGTGATGACAAGGACATTACAGATGTTTTTGGAATCTGGCTCTATGGATAGAAAATCCATACATACAAGATCCATCGGTCCATTACTAGACAAATGTGACAAGGGTGCAGCTTTTCTAGGCAAAGTCTTTCTTTGGACACACCTGGCACATGTCTGGCAATATTTCTCAACATCAACCTTCATTCGGGGCCAGTAAAATCTATTTCTCACAAAACCATAGGTCTTGTCAAACCCCATGTGACCTGAATCATCATGAAGTGATTTTAAAACCACTTCATGGAACTTTTTGGGCAGACATAGCTGTTTATGACAAGGTCTTTCTGGTACTTGAGTGCACCGAAACATTACTCCATTATCCAAAACTAGTTTGTCCCAGTCTCTCATGATCAGTCGAATGTCTTTGTGAGCTTCTTTATTAACTGTGGACAAATCTCCCCTTTTCAAAGCTCTCCATATCTCACCCATACATGGGTCTTCTTGCTGAGCACAGGACAGATCCACAGAACTCAATTTAGGAATTTTTAGAGTATCCAATGTAGCTAAATTACAGTACG